GATTGAATTAATATAACCATTGGATTATGTATTATTAGGGCTTGATACTTTAGCATGCGTGGGTTGGTCAGCCACAAATGTCCCTTTGCTTCTAAGACAGCTTTAAGAGCATGGGGTGTGTAGATATCTAACTTTTGTCCAAAAGTCAACTTGTTAGCTTCCTGTGTTAACAACGCTGTTCCAGCACGTCGGGGTCACCATATTGCTTTAAGGCAAGCTGGCCAACTCCTTGCTACATTATCAAGCTGTCTTGATAGATAAGCAACCGGGCGATGCCAGGTTCCTATTTTCTGGGTGAGAACTCCTACTGCCACATTTTGCTTTGTATCTAAAAACAGTTGAAATAACTTTTCCAAATCTGGTAGACCTAAACTAGGGGCGCACATTAGAGCCTCCTTGAGAGCGGTGAAGCTGTTATTTTCTTGCTGTTCCTATCGCAATGGTTCTTTATCTCACCCCCTTTGTGGCCTCATATAGGGATTTTGCTATTAAACTAAAGGTAGGGATCCATATTCGGCAGAAGCCAGCAGCAACTAAAAATCCTCTTAACTCTTTCCTATTCTTTGGTACAGCAGCTGGCAGATAGTGGATGATGCTTTGCAAAACCAGGGGGGTTGTCCTCTGCCCACAAATATGGTACATCAAATTCTTCCCATCTGGCATTTTTCTCTATCATTTGTGCCAGCATCACCATTCTCCATTCCTCTGCACGGGATACTTCCATCATCACCTTTCCATATTTTATGGCCATTGTGCCATCCTCTTCAAAGGAGATCTGCGCCCTTACTTTACAAAGCAGATCCCTTCCCAATAGAAGAATTGGCATATATACAAACTGATGGGTTATAGTTTTTCCCCCCATAGTGCAACTTAAGGGCTCCAAAACGGGTCGCTGCAATATCTTTCCTGTTGCTCCTTGTATGTTGGTAGAGTGAGGGGAGGCTTGGCTTAGGGGTTGGGTTAGGACTGATCGGGTGGCTCCAGTATCCACAAGGAAGGGAATAGGTTTTCCTCCTACTGTTAAACTGACCACAGGTTCTGGGAGGCGGGCTGAACCCAGTTGGTCTCAGTCCCACTCCTCTGCTTCTGCCAGGCCTATGAGGGGAGTTCTTGAAAATCCTCTTCTTCTTTCTCTCCCTCCCTGGCTTCTCCCTGGGCCACCTCTGTATCTGTTCGCAAACCTGCTTCTTCCCCCTCCTTGTTCTTCATCCTTTTCTCTTTCTGGACATTCACCCTTCCAGTGTCCTTCCTTCTTACATATGGCACACTGGTTTTGTCCTAACACCATTCCCCATCCTCTACTTTTGCCACCTCCCCTTGACAACCCCATCATAGCAACTGCCAGCAATTCAGCTTTTCTTTGCATTTTCTGATCCTTTTTCTTTTCCTCCTCCTTTTCTCTATTCACAAAAGTCTTTTGGGCCACTTCATTTGTTTTTTCACTAAATGGGCCATAATGAAATTTCCAAGTAAGAAGGTCTGATGTAGTAAAAGGCATATGTTGGAATAGAGGAGCTGTGGCTGTTTCTGCTGGATCATCCTTACTGACAACCAATTGATCTACTTGTCTAAGGGGAGCATTCAAAGACGCTTCCTCAGTCTTTGTCCTCGTTTGTTCGGCTATCAGTCCTCCCACTTCTCTGTCTTCTGTTTGCAGTCCCGTCCATTCCTCCTCTGCCTTGGCCCCCCTCAGCACCTCTTGCTGAAGGTCCAGCTTGGGTCCCTTGATCCTGGACATCTGGTTGGATTATGGCTTGTCCCCAGCTTTTTCTATCTTCGAAACTTTTTAACATAGGGGACAGTTTTGCATTTCTGGATCCATGGTGGAGGTCTTTGCAACAAGCCGAGCCACACATCAATATATGGTGCCTGGTCTGGGTGCCCTAACATGGGGTGGAACACTAACTGATGTACTTTTAGAGCAATGGATGGATCTAGCGTCCCTGTGCTTGGCCAGCCTATGTTAAAGTTGGGCCAATCTACCTCACAGAAGGTCCTCAACTTATGCCTGCTCCACTTAATACCATAATCCTGATCCCCATAGGCAGACTTAAAATGCTTTAACATACACCCCAACGGAGTAAGGGGTACACTTTCACCACCCCCCATGAGCCTCCCAGGGCACCAGACAAGACAAATGAGGAAAGGGGATGAAAGGAAGGTAAGGGGTCCTTCCACTCGGGATGACACTGAGGGTTTCACTTATACACGCTAGACCCAGGGAGCCGGAAACTCACGGTCACCGATGGGAATTTTGAGCGCCACTCACTCACTGCAAACACACACAACAATCCTCCCACCTTATCCTAAAGAGAGGGTGATCAGTCCTCTCCTCCGTCCCTGTTTACAGGGAGGGATTCTTTATTTCCCTTTCAATACTTGCCTGCAGGCGAATCTTTTGTCCTCTAGCCGGCTGGAAAGTTGCCTGGTCTCCTTACCCTTCACCTGTGGTTCTTGGAGTGGCCGACTGCCGATGCTGGAGCCCTGTGTCACAGGGAAGTCCCTCGGAATAAAAGGTCCGATGGCGCCTGGGATGTTCCCCCTAACACTACAGGCCCCTGGCACCAGGGTGTGCCCTCCAGAGAGCCCCAAGACTCCTTGCCGTCCTGCTGCGGTCACCAGATAATTGTTGTGGAAAAAACCACGATACTTACATCAGAAGACAAGACCATGAAGGGTTGGAGAAAACAGGCTTTATTTGTGCACAATGGTTCAGAGCATTCACATGACAAATTCTGAACCCTGAGTTACTCCCAGGGTGTCATTTTTATACAGCTTGCCGCCCACGCTTAACCTAATAGATGACTTCTTATCTACCTTTTACACACTAAAAGAGAGAAGTTCATATCTTAAGACAACACACATAGGAAAAAGTGCAGAAAACCACACTCTCCTACACGTGTAATATCTTACACCATTTGTGACTTTCGGTTGGCACTTCTTGTAAAAATGTTTCTTCATAGAATTGCACACAGGTCATCACACTCAGCCAGTTTATAGTATTAGTTAATGCTTTAAAACATCACCTCTGTTAATTAAAATATAATTCAAAAGTACTTTATCATTTCTCTTAATGGCAATTTTCCATCTACCTCAACATGGTCTTTAAAAAAGGCATTTAGTAAGTGGGGACTACCTATAAATGTTTTTCATGGAATTAAAAAAATAATACTCTGTCCAGAGCAAGATGTGGAAGGAGGGGGATTCTGGAATAGAGATTGCATCAGGCAAAACTGAAATGGAGGGTTGGGGTTGAAATAGTGTCAGAGAAGGATGGATGTTGGATGGCAGGCAACGGGTTTATTTTACCAGTATGTTGTTGAAGTATGTTAGTCAGAGGAAGGTTTAGTAGGTTTCTGGATGCTGCAGGAATACTTAAGCAATAGGGAAGGAGTGGCTGGCTGAGGTTTCCAAAATGGCTTGATCAGCAACTTAAGCATACCTACACTTTGCTTTCTGCCTGATGATCAGTATCTCACATTGGGCCAGCTTCTGATTTCACCTGAAATTAGGCCATTTACTGGATTGCATCCCCATGTTCTTTGGATAGCTTTGTTCTTTGTTTGTCTTCTTGCTCATTTTCCTGTTTTTCTCTTTTCTTCTCTCCCTTGATGGCTTGTCGAGTTAACTGACTACAGATGGAGTCCATAACATTTACAACATTTTTGTACTGGTCCCCATATATTGCCCCCAGATGTCTTTGAACCTCCAACCCTCATGGATTTTACAAGATCATTAAAGACACTTTTATTTCACTAGGTCTTCGATGCCAGCTAAATCTTTATTGGCACTCACCTGAGGAAGATTAATTTATTGTCATTATTTTTTTTATTATTTTGATCTATTCTATTGTTGCCTATAGAATTTTAACTCTTGTACCCACTCAGAGTATTTTGAACTGCATTGTCTATAAAAACTGTAAATAACTAAATAACTCAGGTCATTCTCACATACCATTCCAGGACCCAGCTATCTGTCATCCCCATGGAAGCCTTGGTTAACCAGCATAGACATGAGTATAATATACAAGTGGCAAAGCTCAACCATCCAATAATCTTGTTGACTTCGTGAGGAATAATTAGATTGAACCAGGCCAAAATAACCACATAAGACTTAGCCACGATTATCTCCACAAAACCAGTACAACCTGAGTCAAACACTGAGAAAATCTGAGCAAATGTTTGGCAGATGCTTTGCATAATCCTCAAAACATCCTGCAAATTTCAGTGCGACTGTTTCTTATTTCCTGAAATGGAATAGTCAGGCAAGTGTCAGTGGATGCAATAAGGTGATGTTTCATCACCTCTCAGGCACAAGAAACCAGGGCCATACCATAGATGACGAAATGGACCTTTTTATTGCTGCAATGCCTCCTGATTCTCACCAGACTGATTTCATTCTCTTAGGAACAGTCAGGTAAGACTTCAGGGACTCTGTGGGAGGTAAGGCCTGCACTCCTTTTGCTGTGCAAGGACTTTAAATCCAGCCCCTCTTCACATCTCCCCTCGCTTCAGCTGGAGATTCCACCATGCCACCCTTATTACCAGCATAATAGGAGTTCTTCATCTATGCTTGGTCAGACTCACTCTTTGACTTCCTCCCGTGGTGCTCTAGGTATCTCTTATGCTACTTCATCTCCTGTAGTCTTTCCGAAAATGAGTAGACCCTCTGGGTTCCACGTAGGTGGAGAATCCGCATAGGTGTATCCCAATCCAAGGCTGCTATTTGCTCATTCCAAGCAGCAACTAAAATGTCAGCCAAACTTATCCTATTCACATGTTACTAATTTAATAACTGCAGTGATTCACTTAACAACTGTGGCAAGAAAGATCATAAAATGGGGCAAAATTCACTTAACAACTCTCTCACTTAGCAACAGAGATTTTGGGGTCAATTGCAGTCATAAGTGGAGATCTACCTCCTGTACATGTGTTTAGGCTACTGTTACAGGGTCTGCCTTTATGTGGTTTGTTCTACTTTCATAATTATAATCTGAAACATTTTGAGGCTTTTCAATTTTTTTTTAATTCTTTTAACAACTATCTTCTCTTGCAGCCATCCTCATATCAGGCTACCAGAATGTAAATACACACAAATACAGATATAGAAATGCATGGGCAGCATGTGTGGGTAAGGGAAGATACTAGTAAGTTATTTGCTATTTTTGCGAAGAAAGGATAAAAGGATATTCATTCATTAATGGATCATTGGAAGTTCAGAGGCAGAATACTGGTAACTGAATAGGTTTAGAAGAGAAACTTCGAACAATGATTAGCTTGCATTCTCTGACCTTGGCTAGTTTGGATGAAGAAAGTGAGAGCTACAATTAGCTGAAGATATTCTCAGCAGGCTCCAGACCAGACACACACACACAAAGCTACGGATGCCAGTATGCCTAAAACATTGTATATCTGCAAATGGTGAAGATAAGGAGGTCTTGTGAAAGACTGACACTGGCATACTTTTAACTGCATGTGTTGGCCAAATGTGACAGTTGGAATAGACTTCCTTCCTCCCAACTTTTCCACCCCATTCTTTTTACAGAGCCTGAGCGGGTTTAGGATAAGATCGAGTCAGCACAAAATCTACGACGGAAGTGGGCAAATAAGAGAGAGGAACAAAGATCCACCGGGAATCCCAGCCAGCAGAATAGCGTGTATAGGGGTATTTCGATATCAAAGCATGCTCCATACAGTCAGTCACCTTGTAGAGATCTGTGCAGCAACGAGTTGCCAGTTGGACTTTGATCGTCTCACAAACTGTTTTGAGAGAGAAAGAGAGAGAGAAAGAGAGAGAGGAGAGAGAGAGAGAAAGAGGAGCGAGAGCAAGTAGAAGGAAAAGAAAGAAAGTCAGTATGGAGATGTGGGGTCCAAAATACTAAAGAGAATATAAATAAATAAAGCAGCCTCCACAATACTACATGAATGAAACAGTAATAACGTTTAACTTTAAGGACAATTTTCTCTGACTCTCAAACAACTAAGATGGGAAAAGTCAGTCTCTCCCTAGAGTTATTACAAAAATCAAAGCACAGGTAAGCTCCATGAGCTCTGTTACTACAGCTCAGCATGGAAAAGCATAATTGTGTTTTAGAAGAGGACTTTCAGACCAGGAGAAAAGCCCAGCCTATGAGTGTTCCAATTGGTGCCTTGAGATCAGGGGTTAGGACACTGAGAAATTCAAAGACATTCTTGGCTGACTCTCCAGGCTGCATTACTTTCTCATCCAATAGCCCAGAAGAATTTGCCTCACCACAGCTTTATAAAGCATCTGGAAATTAAGACTATTTTAAAAATCCCCTCCAGATTTCAACCCATTCATCCACTTTGGCCACCATAGTGTCTGGGACCTCTGTCCAGAACTGAGTGAACATGGCCTCTGATTGGTGGATTCCTGTACTTCTTCCCCCAAGTGCACACCTAAGTGCCCATTGCTTTCCGTGCTGTGGCAGGACACTTCTTTTTATAACCAGAGGAAAAATGGACAACCTTAGATGGAAGATGTTGATACAGCCGAGCATTGGCACCCAACCAAGTCCAAAAAATGGACTTCAAAGCATGTGACAAAAGGGTGGTCTTCAATCACCCGTATGATGGGTGCTATTGAAGCTGAGCAACAGTCCCTCCCAGCTTCTGATTCCTGGTAAGCTTCTCCCAATTAGCCTGCAAGCCCACATAAAGACTCACATGCATCAAAGTAAGGCTGGCCATAACTTTCTTTGATTTCCTCTGGGGCTTTGATCCATTGTTGCTCCAGGCACTCAAGAGTTTTTTGGATATCAGTCATGGATGTGCGGAAATAGCCTGGCTCGATTATGGCTACTTTCACCCCAAATGAGTGGATCTCACGCCTAGAAAGAAATTATCAGTTCAGAGTCACTACCTGGGGGTGCTACTTCTTCCTCTGCAGAGCAGGAGAGATTTCAAGAAATCTAATCTTTTTCAATCTGGTGAGAAAATACCATTTCTACATCAATCCTGCCATGGAAATTTAAGCAATTCCTATCTTTTTTTTTTCACTTGATTATTAATAAATACTAATAAATTATTGCTCTCTCTGCATGGGATTTCATGGCAGGGATTCTTCTATTTCGGCAAGCATGTACTGAACTAAAGCCACCCATTATACCTTTCTCAGCCTGGCCTATGTTACAGAATCATTATGGTGATAATACTACTATATATGCCAGTTTAAGTTCCTGGAGGAAAGGCAGGTTATACGTTCAAAAGAAGACAAAATAAATATGTTAAATGTATTGCTAAATTTTTCAAACCAGATTGATTTTAAAAGAACAAACTATTTTCATCAACAGTTTAACCAAATAATAACTTGGCCCATTTTCCAAAATCGGGTCAGATATAATAGACACACCTAGCAAAGCCCTTGACTGAGTTCCACTTTCCTCCTCCTCATCTATCTGAACCAGGAACATGGAAACATTTATTCCTTCTCAGACATCCACTCAAACCTGTTCTTTGAAGTGGCATGAGATTACCTGAGACAGTCAGAGAAAGCCTCCACTCCATACTTTGAGATACAATAACCACCTCCCATGGTACTAAGTCGACCCACGATGCTGGACATGTTAACCACTCTTCCCCTGGCCTTCTTCACCAAGGGCAACATATGCAGTGTCACATCAATTAGCCCAATTAGATTGACGTTCAGCACTTTCATATAATCCTCTTTGGTCAGCCATTCATTGGGGGATATAGGGTGCACAATTCCAGCATTATTTACCAAGCCCCAAAGTCCTGCAAAGAAAAGACAACAAATATGTAAAACTTTACACAAGAAAGAGACTGAAAATCTATCTGGCCCAGGCTGAGCAGAGTTAAAAATCTAAAGTCCTCAAAAATCTTCTATGTATGTTCTTTAGGCTAAGGGGAAATTTCCTTGAATAAAATTAAATTAAGAGCCAAAACACCTTGAAAGTATGTTTTAATCAGCACTAGCTACATAATCTCATGATCTAGGATTAAATATATCACAAAGAGTTCCTCCTAATATTTCATAAGGAGCTCTTCCTAATAAGCCTTATGAAATAGTTGATCTCCAAGAAGACTTTCCTAATCAATTTATAATTTGCTCCAGATTATTGAGAAGCCTATTTACAGTTGAGCCACTGTACCTTTATTCCCCACACATTCTTTCACCCATGCAGTTGCTGCCTCAATGCTCTCGCTACTGGTGACGTCCAGCAGGGTGGTTTTCAACCGGTCCGATGTGAGTCTCTCCAGTTGCTGTGCTCCCTTCTGGGTGAGACAGGCAGCCAACACGCGCAGACCCTGGGCATCCAGTTGTCTGGCCAGCTGGTTTCCAAAACCAGAATCACAGCCAGTGATGAATACATGTTTTTCTCTCAGGTTGTCTACCTGTTGTTTTTCCCGATAGGATCGTATCACAAAGTACAGCAAAATTGCCAATGCCAGGTAGAACCACATGCTTGCTGTGTATTAAAATAAGATAAAATTTAAGGTCTTCAGGTTTCCTGTTTTGTTTTGTTCTTAAACCAATTTTTCTGGTCTTTTTTCTTCTATCTGTTGTCCTTCTGATGTCGATGGACAACAGTATGTTCTCAGAAGAATTGGTATGGAACATCCAATTCACAGATTAATGGTTAACAAATGATGTTTGCTATAGCTGCTCTGTAGTTCATTGCACTTCCCTTTAGCAAATAATCTCCTCAGCAGATGAATTCTGTCTATGCAACTTTACCTGGAATAAATCAGCATCTTACTAGAGGTGAAAGTTGCTTTTGGAGACAACTATGATCTTGGGGACTGAGAATCTCCACAAATATACTAGAGGTGAATTTTCACTACTCTCTTGCTACGAATGAACTACCATTCCTTGTCAAGAAATTTGGTATTTTTGTACAAGTAGTCCTCAAATTATGATTGGTTATTTAGCAACTATTTGAAGTTATGATGGATTAGTTATGACCCAATTCTTAAGTTCCAACAACTGCCCCTCATCATGGTCACATGACCACATGTCAGGCACTTGTCGACTGGCCCACATTTACAACCATTTGTAGCGTCCTGTAGTTCTGTGCATGACTGTGTTTTATGCTACTTTTGCCAAAAAAACAGCATTTATTTCTGGTTTTTGGTAAAACCGGCCCTTGGAGAACAATTGGTTCACTTAATGATTGCTATGGTGGCTTAATGACTACTGCAAAAGTCACAAAATTGGGTTAGTCACTCACTTTACTACTGTCACAACCTATGACTGTACTGGGCAGGGTGTAAGTCCATTAGGGTGTAAGTCAGGATTAACTTCAGATATGTAGCTCTCACTATTATCCATCTGCATAATGTACAGGTCACAGCTAAAGTGCAACACACCACTATATGCACGACAGAGGGTTATTCTTTTTCTTTTTTTAAACAAGTTTTATTAATTTTCCATTTTAACAAAGCTTTAGGTATTAAGGAAGCAACTTGGTGGTAGGGTAATACATAGTCCAATAACGCGTTTTTCCATACAGTTTACATCATCAAAAATTTCCTCTCTGTTTCCCTTAGGTATTATACCAGATTTCAGATTAATACGTTGCTAGTTATAACTCAATCATTTGAAACATTTATCGACAACTTTTAATTTATATGCCTTCAAATCCTGTTTTTAACTTTTATCTGGTTTCAATGACAGTATTCCAGTTGGCTTAATGTCCATAGTATTTAGATTTCGGATAGCCCACGGTTCCCTTAGTTCAGGGGTAGGCAATCCAAAACACTCAAAGAGCCACTTGGACCCATTTCCCATCGAAAACAAAAACTGGGAGCTGCAAACCCCTTTTGACATCTAAAATGAAGATAACACTGCATATATCTTTTTTTACCTTTATTATGTGTGTGTGTGTGTGTGTGTGTGTATGTGTATCTGTGTGTATATGCGTGTGTGTGTGTGTGTGTGTGTGTGTATAAAAGAGACTGATGCCATTTACACAAGCAAGAAATGCAAGAAAGCAATAATTGCTAATAAGAAACCGGCAACTGGAAAACAGCCTATTCCATCAGGCCCGATGACAAGATCTAGGAACCGGATGCAGACCCTGGCCAATCTATAAAGGGGACTCTCCTACTGACCGGCATCTTGAGCCCTGATGATGTCAGCAGTCGCTGACGAAAGCTAGGCGTTTTATTATAATTTTATTGAAATTTTATTGGTATTTTACTAAATTTTATTAAAATGTTATAGTATTCCTTGGTGCTCACATTTATTTGTTTGGTTTTAAATATGGATATACCCAGGGATCATATTTTTAGTGTAATTGTTAATATATATATATATAGCTAATTTCATTAAAAACACGAATCCTGAGTATAGTCATATTATAAAAACAAACAAACATGAACACCAGGAAAAATTTTAAACTAAAAACGTTTAATCTAGTGCCAAGCTTTCGTTGGCCAACTGCTGACATCTGCCAACTGCTTAAAACCAGTCAACTGGTTTTAAGCCCTGATGATGTTGGCAGTTGGCCAACGAAAGCTTGGCACTAGATTAAACGGTTTTAGTTTAAAATTTTTCCTGATGTTCGTGTTTGTTTGTTTTCACGGGTATTTATATGTAGGTCTTTGGTTATTCGGGTTTTCTCCCACATCAAATTGGAAGTGTCTTGGCGATGTTTCGACGAAGTCCTAGAAGCAAGAAGCTGAAAACACCAGCCTGAAGATGATGAATGGGACTTCGTCGAAACGTCGCCAAGACACTTCCAATTTGACGTGGGAGAAAACCCAAATAACCAAAGACCTACATATATATGTATATATATACAGGTCTTGGAGTTACCTATACCTGTGAAAATCTATGAAAACATATATATATTAAAGGTAAAAAAGGATACATGCAGTGTTATCTTCATTTTAGATGTCAAAGGGGTCTTTCCCTCTCTTTCTCTCTTTCTCTCCCCCCCCTCTCTCCGATCTTCTGCTCACCTGGCAAGCTGGCTTCAAGCTGTTCTCCGACAAGCTCAGGGGAAGGCAACTTCGGCTCTTTTATGACTCATGGACAACTTCCAGAATTCCTGAGTCAGCATAGCTGGGCTACCTAGCTCTCGCCTGCCCTTCCTGCTTCCTGCTTCCTGCAGAGACAAAGCACAGGGAGGAGCTCCACCCAAAAAGCTTTTCAGCTTCTCAGAGAACACCGTGAGTCTACTCTCTTTTGCACACACACACACACACACACACAGAGAGAGAGAGAGAGAGAGAGAGAGAGAGAGAGAGAGAGGGAGGGAGAGAGGGAGAGAGAGAGACTGTTCCTGACAGTTAGAACAATTAACTAGTGGAACAACCTGCCTCCAGAAGTGATGAATGCTCCAACACTGGAAGTTTTTAAGAAGAGACTGGACAGCCATTTGTCTGAAATAGTATAGGGTTTCCTGCCTGAGCAGGGGGTTGGACTAGATGACTTCCAAGGCCCCTTTCAACATTATTATTATTATTATCGATCATCGCACAGTCAGCCAGATGTTCAGACTGGATTTGGCATTTTGTCTACCTATCGAGTCCTTACCCAGGACCTGGGATAGGCAGATGTGGATGTTTGATGGTATTACAGATATCGTCGCAGGATGGAAGCAGTTCCTAATAAGGCCGCCTTTTGCAATTGACTAATAGCGAATTTGTCAATGCCAATGGTGTTCAAGTGGTGCTCCAGTTGTTTTGGGATTGCACCCAAGGAGCCTATGACTATTGGTACTACCCTTGCTTGCTTTTGCCACAGTCTTTCTATTTCTATTTGTAGGTCTTTGTATTTTGTTATCTTCTCCAGTTCTTTCTCTTCTATTCTGCTATCTCCAGGCACTGCCACGTCCACTATCCAGACTTTTTTGTCTTTCTTATCGACAATTGTTAAGTCTGGGGTGTTATGTTGCAGGTGCTTGTCTGTTTGAATTCTGAAGTCCCAGAGCAGTTTAATTTTATCATTTTCTATGACTTTCTCTATTTTATGATCCCACCAGTTTTTGCTTACAGGCAAATGATATTTTTTGCAGATCTTCCAATGCACCATTGTTGCTACTTTGTCATGCCGCTGCTTGTAATCAGTTTGTGCAATCTTCTTGCAACAGCTTACCAAGTGGTCCACTGTTTCTTCAGCTTCTTTGCATAGGCGGCACTTACTGTCTGTTGCTGTCTTCTCAATTTTGACTTTGTATGCATTTGTCCTTAAGGCTTGGTCTTGTGCAGCCAGAATTAGTCCCTCGGTCTCTTTCTTCAATTTTCCTGCTCTTAGCCATTGCCAGGTTTTATTATTATCTGCTTTCCCAGCTATTTTTTTCATGTATTGGCCATGTAGTGCTTTGTCTTCCCATGCCTCTATTCTGTTCTTCATTTGGTCTTTCTTGTAGGCCAGTTTGGTCTCTCCAGTAGTTAGTAAGCCTTCCTGATATACTAATTTCAGTGCATCTTCATCATTGTTCTTCAGATATTCTTCCAAAGCCATTTTTTCTTCTTCAACCATCTGATGTACTTGTAGCATTCCACGCCCACCTATTTGCCTTGGTAGATAAAGTCTATCAATGTCACTGCGTGGATGAAGGGCATGATTCATTGTCATTATTTTTCTGGTCTGCCTATCCATTGCTTTTAATCCACTATTCCAGCTGTGTACCCATTGAGTTTGGATTTTAAGATCTTCTTCACTCTCTTGATGTATTCACCTCTAATCTTTTTCTTGACTTCGGTGTGCTTGATGTTGTCAGCTTGAAGGATACCCAAATATTTGTAGTACTCTTCCTCATCCAGACTCTTAATGTTATTTTCGTGGGGCATCTTGATTCCTTCAGTTTTCATTATTTTTCCTTGTTTGATAGTAATTGTGGTACATTTGTCCAAGCCAAACTCCATTACAATATCTTGGCTATATATACGGACAGTGTTGAGCAGCGATTCTATTTCAGATGATGTTTTTCCATACAGCTTCAGATCATCCATATAAAGGAGGTGGGATAGTCTGGCAGATGTTTTTGATGTTTGATAGCCATGTCCTGAGTTATTCAGTATTGTTGACAGAGGAAACAGTGCAATAACAAATAGTAATGGTGATAATGAATCTCCTTGAAATATTCCTCTCTTGATATTAACCTCTCCCAGCTTCTCACCATTGATCTGCAACTGTGTCTTCCATTGTGCCATCGATCTTTGCACAAATTTTCTGATGTTTCTACTGACTCCTGTTATTTCTAGGCACTTTATTATCCAATCATGTGGCAGAGAGTCAAATGCCTTTTTGTAGTCAATCCATGCCACATTCAGGTTGGTCTTCCTTCTCTTGCAGTTTTCCAAGATCATTTTGTCTATTAGGAGTTGATCTTTTGTTCCTCTGCTGTTGGGGTGGTTTCCTTTCTGCTCAGGTGGAAAGAGATTGTTTTCAACTAGGTGCTGTTGCACTGCATCAGCTACTACACCAGTTAGTAATTTGAAAGTTGTTGGTAAGCAGGTAATTGGCCTGTAGTTACCTGGTGTTGCCCCTTTTGCTGGATTTTTCATTATTAGGTAGGTTTTCCCAGTTGTTAGCCACTTTTCAATTTCTCCTCCTTGTAGTATATTGTTGAACTGCTTGGCAATGAGTGGGTGTATAACAGTTAGATGTTTCAACCAAAACCCATGCAGTTCATCTTCACCTGGTGCTGACCAATTTTTGATTTTCTTTGCTCTTTTTTCTACCATTTTTGTTGTTATTACTAGTTCTTTCATTTCAACTTCTGTTTTATTTGCATCCACCTCTTTTAACCAAGCCGCATCCTTGTTGTATTTCTTTGGGTTATCCCATATCTGCTTCTAGAACTGCACTGTTTCTTCCTTGTCAGGTACTGACTGATTCCTTGCAGTTTCTCCATTGATGGATTGGTAGAAACGTTTCTGATTGGATTGAAATTGGAGGTTCTGCCTATAGTTTGCAATTCGAGCTTCATATCTACTGATTTTCCTGGCTATAGCTGTTATTTGTTGCTTTATTATTTCCAGTGCTTCCTTGATCTTCCTTGTTTCTAAGTGGTATTTCTTGATTAGGTATTCTTTGGTCTTCTTGTTCTTCAGCTTCTTTTCTTTCATCTGTTCTAGCTTGCTTGCATGTGATCTTAACTTGCTGATCTTATTTCTAGTCTAACCTTCCATTTTTCTGGTGCACTGTTTGTTTGTTTTTCTTTTTTGTTGATTTTGCATCCCAGGTATTCTGTTATAACTGCAGCTGTGCTGTACATTAGTTGGTTTGTTTCTTGCAGTGAATTGGTGCTTATACTTGATATTGCAGTATTTGCATCTTTTAATGCTTGTGCTAGCTGTTTCTTTGGAACAAGCTTCAATGCAGGTAGCCTTATTCTGTTGTTTTTGTGCTGTTCTAGATGCTCAGTTATTCTTTGTTTCAATTCTTTTATTTCTTTAGTTAGAGGGTTTTGTTCTTCCTGAGGAAGAGGTGCCTGGTTTCCAAATGAGAACAGTTGTATATCTCTGCTGGATTCCTTCACTGCCAACTCCCCCTGGTTTGCCTCTACATTCTGAATTACTTCTGGTAAGGCTTTGATTTCTTTGCCCTGGGTAAACCTTTGCAGTTCATCCAATTCTGTTTCTGTGAATACTTTATTTCGTGTTATAAATCGGCGTTGATCTGCTAGTCTCTGTTCTGTTATTTCTGATTCTGGATGTTGTTCTTTCCAGAACTGGTGCATTCGTTTTAGATATCCTCTTCTTGTTGGACTTGATCTGTAGTAACAGATCATTATTTCTTTGTTTTCAATCACTGTGTATCTGCGACGGGTAAAGATCTTTTCTTCCAGTAGTTCTGCAGCTGCTGACCCTGGTTGCTCAGCCAACAGTCCTGAGTCCTGTAACCCATTTTTCACCAGATATCCAGGAACTCCGATATCTAGCGTGGACCTTGTTAACCCGGGCGACGTCCGAGCCGGTATGGCATTCTGCAATTTACGTCTCACCATATTTTTTATGGGAGAGACACTCTTTGTCTGACTCCTCTGATGAGACCTGTCCAGTATGGTTGAACCTCTAGCATAGCTCTCATCTTCCTTAGAGTACACAAGCCCCACAACCACGTCAAGGTAGTGCCTATTATTATTATTATTATTATTATTATTATTATTATTATAAGCAGGGAAGCCCAAGTGCCCCTCTCTCTGTCTCTGTCTCTCTTTGCAAATGGCAGAGGAGGCTGGGAGCCACAGGGGAAGGCTCAAAGAGCCGCATGCAGCTCCGGAGCTGCAGGTTGCCAACCTGTGCCTAAGTTCATTACAAAATAGTTATCATTTCTAAAATACACTTATATTTATTCAAATAAATTCTTAGTTTATTCCACAATCATATTCATCGCTTACTAATAAAATAACTTATCCTCTGAATCCATCTTCTACGTCAGTGATGGCGAACCTTTTAGAGACCAAGTGCCAAAACTGCAACTCGAAACACACTTATTTATTGCCGGGTGCCAGGTGGGCATGGCCCACTCGGTTGGCGTGGCTGTGGTGGTCATGGCAGATTGGGTAGGGGTGGCCAAGGTGGGCATGGTCACTTCATTGTTGCTCGTGGGGAGGGATGCTTGTGGGGGGTGGGCAGGGTTGGAGGAGATCTAGAGGCTCTCTGGCAGGTGGGGCGGTAGGCAGGAGGCTCGTCCTACAGGGTGAGGTGAAGCAGGGTGGGGGTGCCATTGCCATGGGGCAAGGCAAGGGCTGGGTTGGTTGCTGCATGACACCATCGCCCCTGCACACAGAGGCCAGAGAGCACATGGGGGCCAGCCCCTTGACTGGCCCACTTGGGGGCTCCACAGTTCGCCGCTAGCAGTTCAAAGAAGCTACCTCTGAGCTGGATGGCAGGCCAACAGCTGAGGAGGCGATGCAGTGGATCATGCCCAGGAAAAGGAGAGCATGCAAGGCCAGGAGGGACGGGGGGGAGGGAAACCAGCCATGCTGGGATGCATCCGGCTACGTGGGACCTCGGCGAGTTAGCAGGAGGCTGGTTGAAGAGAGACGGTTGTCATCTCCTGGGCATGGCACGCGTGCCCACAGAGAGGGCTCTGAGTGCCATCTCTGGCACATGTGCCATAGGTTCGCCACCACTGTTCTATGTTATAATTCAAAACTATTATTCTAGTAACTAATTTATTTCCCTTATAAATATAAATCCTGAATATTACATCAATTGATATCTTTTAAAATCTCCTTATCCCATTAAGTACGATTTAAAGCTCTTCCATTAGAGGTCACTTAAAGAAAACCATTTTTTAAATCTAACTCTGGCCTTCCTTTTGTGCCAAACAGGCTTCCATAACAGAGCTTTTAAATCCTCGGGTGGATCTACCTGCATTCCTGCATATGTCATTTGAATCAAGGGAGACCATCCAGTCATCAGCCTATCAAGGAAGCTAGTCCCTTCATAGTCATTAAATTGTTGGCCTGATAGTATAAAGTATAAATTTGAAGTTAAGCTGTGGGTGATGTTCCTCCATTTCTGTAGTATTTGCAAATAGTCCTTTAGTGGAGGCTATTTGTAATGAAAGTCAATAGGAATCCACCTCCACTATAGAAAATTATTTTCACCACCTAGCTGTTTCAGGTTCTTATCTTTTTTGATAATGTCAAGGACCAATTTTAGTCTCAGAAATCTCCCAGTCAAAAAAAAAATTCACTTGCTGTACCAGGTTTCGCCACAAGATATCCCTAGTGCAATGCACAGTTAAGCTGATCAAAGAAGAAAGAAAGAAATCTTCCTCTTTTTTTCCAGCTTAGCAAACAATAAGTGTCTGTAAGAATAAAGAACTTTTTGAGAGCCCAGGTATCCAGAAATTACAAGTCCAGATATTTAGTCATTTAGTCTAGTTGTTCTTTTTTTTTTTTTTTCTTGCCTTAGCTTTATATTCCCAAAGTAGGCAGGAGCCGCAGAATTGAGAAGGGGAAAGAAGGTATTCACAGGCTTTTACAGGAAAATAGATGGGAAGCAGGAAAGGCAAGGTAAGGTCTCACCCAATTCCTCCAGGTTGCTTTCATCGTGCTTAGTAGTGCTTTGGGCTTTCGGCAGGAACAGCTTGGTGATCGGCCATGTTAATGGCCGATCTTTTCTTTGTCGGTCCAGAGGAGCTGCCTCGGATCCAATGGAAGGGTTGCTGCCATTCCGCAGGTCGTCGAGGGTCCTCCTCAGCGGTGGTCGCCCCTCCTGGGTGACTTTCGCTCCTTTGCAGGGTCTTCCGATGGAGAAAAACTGGACGGCGGAGAGACCAGCCTCTTAGCCTATCCGCCAGTGCTGCAATCGCAAACTGGAAGCCCACAGAGGGTTATTCTTGAAATGGGTCTAGAGGTTGCAGTTGATGCAAAATGAAGCATCCAGATTTCTAACCATTGAAAATGTGTGATGTCTGACATGAATGGTCTGTACTGGTTGTCGGTTGCTTAGTGGGCACAATTAAATGTGTTGTATTCAGTTTTAAAGCCTTAAATGGTTTGGGGTCTGACTACCTAAAGGGCTGCCTCTCCTGTTATCACTCTGGCTGTTTAGCTTAGCAGAAACAGGCTTCTGCACTGTCAGAGACTTGCCACGCTGGCATGTGGGAAAGAGCTTCTCTGACGTTTTCCCCAAGCCATGGAATGCATTTCCCCAAGAAGTGTTTGGCCAGCATTTTCTCAAAAATTGGGAGATCTGTAAATAGGCATCTCTGTCACTAGACTTTTCACCATTAAATGATTCACTATTTGTTTTATTGTTATATTTAATCTACAATTTCATATTATTTTTGTTTTGAAATTTTGTTTGAGTCTTTAGTGCTTGCCAGGGTAGAAAAGTGGATAGAAAGAGACAATTTATACTTTGGAATTTGTACCCTTAGTAAAGATACACAAGTTACCTTTTTTATGTTTAGTTGTTTTACTGAATCATTAAAAAAGTGAACATACTGGTTGTTAAGCAGTTAAGCTTCATACCAGTTATATCAATAGTCAATTTCACAATTCATTCTCTCTAGTTTCATAATCCCATATATAATTTCAATGCAAATAAAAAATTGCCAATTTGGTTTTCTCTGAGGCTTCCTTGTAGCTCTGAAACTCCAGTTTTGGCTACCAGACTTTGAACCTTTCCTAATTGCTAAGTCATGCTTCATCTGGCAAAACAACATGACTGCATAAGATTTGCTGATCCCATTACTAATCCCTGTCCTGCTTTTGTCTGAAGTCATTGCAGCCCTTCCACTTCTCTCCAAGGCAATGGAGAACAACACTCAGCAGATTTTATACACTGTGAAGCTTCATTTCGATGGTGTTAGAATAAACCAGAAAACATTACTTTAATGTAATGTAAAGGAACCTGGCATTCAATGGCCATCGTCATTTATTTTGATTATTGAGCAACACAATCTACATTCAATACTAAAATTAAAATCATCCCAGTGATACAGTAGACTAATCTACATACTGTAAAAATACTAACATTTTTTAAAAATTAATGTTTATTACAGTTTTTTCACAACGTAAAAAAAAATAGATTTTAAAAAGAAAGTAAAGAAAAAGTAATAAATAGAAATCAATGGAAAAAAGACATGAAAGAAAAAAAGATATAAAGGAGTGGCTTCCAATCTTCTTTATAGCAGTTATAAAGACAATTATATTTCATTCTCTCTGTCTCTCTAAGGTTACATAATGATTTCTTTCTTTCCATATTCTATCTTTCTAATCATCAGATCCATAAATTACAAGTTCGTTTTTTCTGTTTTAAGCAAAAAGTCCATAAAGTGTTATTAGTCATTAACAAATGCCTTTATCCAATTACACAAATCAATTTTGCCACCTCTACAAATTCTGTCATCTTCACCAACTATTCCTCTGTCGTGGGTATTTTAGAATCTTTCCATCTTTGCGTATGTTTGCCAGTTTGCCATTTGACATAATTGTTAAGGCACCAGACTAGAAAGCTGAAGACCATGAGTTCTAGTTCCGCCTTAGCTGCGAAAGCCAGCCAGGTGACTTTGGGCCATTCACCTTCTCTCAGTCCAACTCATCTCACAAGGTTATTATCATGGGAAAAATATGAGGAGGAAAGTATGTTGTCTATGTTGGATGAATGAATGAATGAATTTCTCGATGCAGTTACCATGTACAAAAACAAGTGCCCTTAAGTCAAAATATTTAGGTATATATGACTTCAGCCTGCCCAGAATGGACTGGGAATGAAATTAAGAGCATGTCATTGGGGACAAAGCAGGAAAAAAAAGCTGTTGTCACAGCATGTTTGTGCTGAGATTAGGTACAATGGAAAATGCCCATAGGATGCAGAAAAAATTAGAATTGCTAAAGTACGACTGATGGATGATTTTGCCACTAGCAAAAATCCACCTATCACCAGACTTTAACAAGTGCTGTTAGCCAGTTTGTATTTTGGCAAACTAGATTGCAGCTACAGCAGTGTTTTTAATTGGGGAATTCTGGGAATCATGCAGACATCTTAAATTTGCTAAGCTTGAGAAACACTGGTCTAAAGGACACCCGCAAATTAAGCATCTGTTGTAGAGGCTTCCTCATAGACTGAAGGAAAGTTCGGCTGTACTGCGAGTGTTCTTCCTTCTCGCTACATTTTTAAAATCCTCGAATAATCCACTGTTTTTAGATATCTGAATATTCGCTGAAGTAGAAAACCAGACTATAAAAGAATAGATAAGCTCTCGGGCAAAACCCACACTTCACGATAAGACTGGGCGGGGGGGAAGGCGGGGGAACCACTGAAGGTCGTCAGAGGCCACTTTAGAATCAGCAAGCTCCTTTTCTCTCTCCGGCTTTTTTCTGGAACTACAATTCCCAGAAGCACCAAGACATCTCGTCAGACAGGCGTCCGCTGTTTGGATTGGCTGTAAAGCGGCAAGGGACGGTGCCTAATTTCTCCCGCGCTCTCCTTTTTGTCGTGGTCATGGCAAGCTTCGATTCTGGTTCTTTGCCTGACTTGCTGCGCCTTTATTATCGCCGCCTTTTCCCCTTCGGCCTTTACGGCCGGTGGCTCCGCTACGGCGACGGTGAGGAAGGGGGGAGGCGTTCCGGGACAACAGTGGGAGCGCGCGGAAAGCCGGGGAGGAAGCAAAGGAAAGGTCCACAGGAAACTGCTCAACCTGTTGAAACATGCGTGACTCTGAGCATGTGCAAAATTTGGCTCCTGAACACTCCACTTCTGTAAGATTGGAAGGGAGGAGCTTTCGGGGTTGAGGTTTAGGTGGGTTAAGGGAGGTCAACACGCTTTTTGTGGGATTGTAAGGAAACGATAGGGACACGGGCATTGATGTTGGCGCAGCAGGCTAGTGAGTCTCTGAATGAGGGCATTTTGCAACAAGTGCTGACCAGATTTCTTTATATTGTGTTTAATTGCGTGCACGTGTTCAGTAACGCAAGATTTGTTGGTAGCTTTTTTCCAAATCACTTAAATTGACTAATGAAGAAGGAACAAAACATCCACCATAATTTGGAGGCATTGTATCTTTTTGAGTACCAGGCACTGGTTACACAATACGAAGAAAGGAACCTCATTCGAGCTGGATTTTAGAGACAGAAAAACATTTTAGAACATATGCTACAAAAGAACCAAATGTGGGAGGAAGGGAAGTTGATTAGCATCTGTAAAGCATTTTACAAGGATTTTTGTAATTTGGAAAAGTTATAAAGTTGGTTTGGAAATAATTCTGAAAGAGGAACCCAAACAATCTGGTATCTCAGCTTAGTTTAAAGAATAGGTATAATCAATTATTCTCTGCAACTTCCAGTTTGTATTCTTTGTCACTGTCAACCAGGATATAGGGAGTGAAAGTATACAGAGACTATTAGCAAAATGGGGGCTTGGTTTGAACAATAAAAAAGCTTGAGACATAAACATAGCCTATTTGACTTTTCTTTGGTATAAGCAAGATTCTGTTATAATAGCTTACAGGTATATCAAGATATAACAGTTTTAGAATTCCCAAAGTGTCTATTTCCCGACTTGGCCTATATCAAAGGACTGACTTGGGATAATAGATATATAGCATTTTTCAGAGCTTTCAATCTGCATAATATGCATTGTCTATATTCTTGAAACAACCTTCTAAGGAAATTTCGATATAGACAATCTAATACGTAGTGACTCACCATCTCATGAATTTATAGAAGAATTGAGATGTGAGAAAATATTCTTATGTTCTACCATGAAACCAAGATGGGATTATGTATTTTCCTTTTGTAGTGTCAAAGAACTATTTTCAGCGACGGGAGTTCTCATTCACACTCCGTGATGATATCTATGTGCGGTATCAGTCTTTCAACACCCCACAGGAGTTGGAAAAAGAAATCCAAAAATTGTGTCCATATAAAATTGACATTGGAGCCGTGTATTCACACAAGGTATGGAATGAAATATTCTGATATGAAGAAGTCTTCCTCAGTCAGGTGCCTACAAAATCTGAAATGCCTAAATGCATCCTAGCATATATGAAGGGTAACATTTAAGGAAGGCCGCTATTGCACAATAGGATTATTGAGGGTTTGTAAAGGATATTTAATGCAGAATAACAGAATTGGAAGAGATCTTGAAGGTCCCCAATCTTTTGGGCACCAGGGACTGGCTCCATGGAGAAAGTTTTTTCCATGGATCAGAGAGTGCATGGTTTTATGTGCTGCCTGCATCCCACGGATGGGGCTTTGCTTGTTTGTGCAGACCCGTTGCTGGCATGCCACGGATCGGGGTTGGGGACCCTGTTTTAGTCCAACCCCCTGCTTAAGCAGGAGACCTTATACCATTCTGGAGAAATGGCTTCTAATCTCTTCTCAAAAACCAGTAAGGAAGCACCCACAACTTCTTGAGACAAGCTATTCCACTAATTAATTATCACTGTCAGGAAATTTCTCCTTAGTTCTAGATTGGTTCTTGAAAAGTTTCCATCTGTTACTTCTTGTCCTGCCCTCAGGTGCTTTGGAGAAAGTTTGACCTTTTCTCTGTGAACAGACAAATAGGAGGAGACTTTATTCATCCCTCAGATAACATCAGCATAGTTTTGAAATTATTGTGCACTGTATATACTCAGAATTTTAGATGCCAAAATACACCCAAGAAATTGGGTTTGGCTTACCTGCAGATGGTTTTATCCATGAATATATATGATAGACTTTTCCCTCAGCTTTTTAAAAATACCCATATATTCCATATACTCCCAGATAAGCCCATCTGTGGATAAGCACATCCTCCAATTTTAAATAAAAGTATCATGAAAAATGTGTGATTCCTACATAAATATATTACAAGTATATACAGTGCTTCTATCAGATTTCTATGTTATATTCATGTATCAGGTTAAAAATTGGTGTAGGAATGTTTCTGGTTTTATTTTTGTTCTACTCTTTTGCTTCTTAGGGATTATTTTGAGATTTGGATGGATCAAGTACAGAAAATCAAAAAATATAATTAAACCACAGTTGTAATCAGTAGTCGGCAATAAACTGAGATTTACTTCCTTAAAATAAGTCATTCAGCAAGCCCATGTGAACATAATTCAAAACCAAGATAAACTACAAAATTAATATTACAGTTCTTGCCTTTTACCTGTAGATTGTATATTTACTTTGTATATTGCGCAGGTCAGAAGGAGGGCTGAGAAGATATCTATAGACCCCTGACATCCTGGTCATAAACTTTTTCAATTCTTCCTCTTGGGTGGCGCTAAAGGCCACTGCATGCCAAAACAACTAGACACAGGGACAGTTTTTCTCCCTGCCCAATGTCTATGTATATTTACCCATGTAGTATGGCTATAGTAGTATCACTTATCCTTTTTATTTTCTTTATCTACCCAGCCCTTATTGGAGGGATGATGGTAATGGTGATTCTATTGCTTTGCATGTACAATGAGAGCTTCTGCATCGGAGATAAATTCCTTGTGTTTCTAATCACATGGCCAAATAAAATATCCTACTTTCTTTGTTGATGTTACAAATATGTCAGACCTATGGAGATTAACAGATGAAAGCTGTCCTGGTATGTTACCTGAACATCCGTGTATTTACTATTCACACATAGAATTACAATAATAAAAATGGAAGGGACCTTGGAGGTCTTCTAGTCCAATCCCCTACTCAGGCAGGAAACCGTATATCATTTCAGATTAACGGTTGTCCAGTATCTTCTTAAAAATTTCCAGTGCTGGAGCATTCACAGCTTCTGAAGGCGGGTTGTTCCACTGATTAATTGTTCTGTCAGGAAATTTCTCCTTAGTTCTAGGTTGCTTCTCTCTTTGATTAGTTTCTATCCATTGCTTCTTGTCTGCCTGTAGGTGCTTTGGAGAATAGCTTGACTCCCTCTTCTTTGTGGCACTCCTGAGATATTAGAACACTGCTATCATATCCCCCCTTGTCCTTCTCTTCATTAAATTAGACATACCCCATTCCAGCAACTGTTCCTTATATGTTTTAGCCTCCCGTCCCCTAATTATCTTTGTTGCTCTTCTCTGTATTCTTTCTAGTGTCTCAACATTTTTTTACATTGTGGTGACCAAAACTGGATGCAGTATTCCAAGTGTGGCCTTACCAAGACATTATAAAATGGTATTAACATTTCACGTGATCTTGATTCTATCCCTTTGTTAATGCAGCCTAGCACTATGTTGGCTTTTTTGACAGCTGCAGCACACTGCCGGCTCATATTTAAGTGATTGTCTACTAGGACTCTGAGATCCCTCTCACAGTTACTTTTTTCACCATTGAATTTCATTTTATTAGATAGCATCTAATGTTCAATTTTTCAAGATCCTTCTGTATCTTAAGCCTATCTTCTGGAGTGTTGGCTATTCCTGCCAGCTTGGTGTTGTCTGAAAATTTGATGAGTTCCCTATCTATCCCCTCATCCAAATCATTGATGAAGATGTTGAAGAGCACTGGGCACAGAACAGTGCCCTGGGGCACCCCACTACACACCTCCCTCCATGTAGATGCAGTTCCATTTGAGGACCACATGCTGAGTACAGCCGGTTAACCAGCTATGAACCCATCTGGTAGTGATGCTGTCTAACCCACATTTTTCTATCTTACCAAGTAGTAGGTTATGGTCTACTTTATCAAATGCCTTACTGAAGTCCAAGTAAATTATATCCACAACATTCCTCTGATCAACTAATTTTGTCCTCTGGTCAAAGAATGCAATAAGATTTATCTGGCATGATCTGTTTTTGACAAACCAATGTTGGCTTTTGGTGATGACTTTGTATGCCTCTAAGTGTTCGCTGATTCGTTGCTTGATTATCTTTTCCAGAATTTTCTCAGGTATTGAGGTCAGGCTGATAGGTCTGTGGTTTCTTGGATCCATTTTTTTCCCTTTTTTGAAGATGGGAACTATATCAGCTCTTTTCCAGTCCTCTGGTAGTTCCCCAGTGTTCCAGGGTCTTTGAAATATATAGTTCAGTGTTTCTGAGATCACATCTGCCAGTTCCTTCAGAACTTCGGGGTATAATCCATCTGGTCCTGGTGATTTGAACTCATCTAGGGTAGACAGGTGCTCACTTAACATTTTCTTACCTATCTTGTGTTTCTGTTTCTACGATACTGTTTTTGATAGGTTGGACTGTTTTTTCCCTTTGTGTAATTTATATATTAGGATACATAGAGAAAATAGGCATTTGATAGTGCTCTCATTCAGCTTTTATAATCATAAGAATTTAGAAAAGGCTTTGCAGCTATTATATATAATTTTGCAATATTTATCATTATTATTTATCCTCATATGTCAGTTGGAGGGAAGAGTTTCCTTAAACAACTGTTATCCTACTTCCTATTACAGCGAATGACTCTGAAAAATCTCTGTAGCCATTCCTGAATACTGCCTATCCAGACCTCAAGCCTTTCCTCTAAGATTTGCTGTTTGAGTGGCTGAAAATGACTTGACAGCATATCAGTGGCCAAGGATAATTTAACAACAACAACAAAAAAAAAATGCAGAAGCCTGAAATGTTATGAAGGAATAAAATTTAGATTATAAATTATAGTATGATGCTAATACTTGAACTTATTCTGGGTTGTGTTTTGTTTGTTTCTTTGCAGCCTATCCAGCATAACACCGTCCACATGGGTGCTTTTCAAGCTCAGGAAAAGGAATTGGTGTTTGATATAGACCTGACAGATTATGATGATGTTAGGGAATGCTGCAGGTACCCTTATCTTTCTGTGATCATTATTTGATGTTCATTAGCCAATTTGTAGCAGGCAAAGTATTATGCACAAAGGAACATGATAATACTGTACTTGGATCTACAGAGCTTTCAGATGGCCCTTCCTAGCAAAGTCTCTATTCCTCTGAGCTACAAAAAGGTTGGTTTTCTAAATAGTAGAATCCCTTGAGCCACAGTGTTATAAATACTTCTCAAAAGTAAACCCCACTGCACACAATGGACCTTATTTTCAAGCAAACATACAAGGATTGTTGTATCTGATTCCAAACTTTATGATTTATTATAATTTTATGTCAACAGGCAGGGAAGATTGCCAGGGGACAAGATAATAAAAACAACTGCCTGTATTGCCAGTTGCCTTTGAGAATCTAGATCTTCCCGTTCTGAACAAAGAGTTCTCATTCCCAGCTACGTTTAGCTGTGTTTATTTTTAAAATCTCAAGGCAACAATTCTACCACACACTGTCCAAGATATTGGTGGGAAGGCATTCTGCTTTTCTGTCTTCTTTTCTAAGCAACATGATTTAGTCAACATATGCAACTCAAACCAGTGCTTGGAATTCTCGTTCTATAAGTGCCTTATCGATAAGTGTACCTAACAGTATAGCACTGTGGCACTAAATTACAGTGTGGCACTACAAATCCCATCCTTACCACTAGCCATATTGACAAGCTGGAAGAGAATTCAAGACTGTACAAGTCAACTTACAACCACAATTGAACTCAAAATTTCTGTTGCTAAACGAGAGAGTTGAGTGAGTTTTATGACTTTTGCCACAGCTGTTAAGTGAATCATTACAGTTATTAAATTAGTAATATGGTTGTTAAATGAATCTGGCTTCCCTACTGACTTTGCTTAGCAGAAGGTGGCAAAAGATGATCACATTATTTCAGAACATTGCATCCGTCATAAATATGAACCACTTGCCAAACATCTGAATTTTAATCAGTGATCATGAGGATGCTGCAACGGTTGTAAGTGTGAAAAACAGTCATAAATCACTTTTTTCAGTGCCATTGTAACTTTGAATGGTCACTAAACGAATGGTTGTAAATCAAGGATTACCTGTATTGGCTATGGTCATGTAAGTTCCTTTTATGATACAAGTAGGAATCATTTTGTCTTCTTCAGCTCTGCAGACATCTGCTCCAAATGCTGGACCCTCATGACAATTGCCATCCACATTATAGACCGAGCCCTTGTGGGTAAGTGGCTGAAAGCTATCTAATCCCTATGGCCAAGGTTTCCAGTCTACCAAAGCTAGAACATGCCTGCCTTTAAGCAGCCTAGATGTATTTCAGAATAACGTGCTTTCTTCAACCTCTTGATTGCACAAAGTGCCTAGCCTGAGAAAAAGAGAAGACATGTCTTTGTTTTAAGAAGTTCCCATCTTTAAGCAATAGGGCGGGCAAAATTATATTTGATTGGTAACAATTTTAAAATGTGTTCCATGTTGCAAGTTGACATGAATGTTGAATCATAGAAAGATAAAAGGTAAAGGATATGTTAGGTTCTATAGTTCCCTTACGTGTTACAGCAATGGATAACCCAGGTTGCCCCCAGGCATCCCTCCAAGGCATGTTACTGTCCAAATGCAATTTTTAATATGGTGGGGAAATTATTGACTGTACAGGGATAGTCATGTGAACTATATTTCTTTGATGTATTATAAAATTATATCAAGGTTAATTTATTCCTAGCCTCCCACTCCTTAATCTTGGTCCTACACAGTTGGAAGAGAAACCTATAGGTTTTCATGCCCATTACACGTGAGAAAGGAAGAACAGATTTTGGCTCAGGGCTGTCAGAGTCGTGAATTGGTACGGTATTCTTGGACAGTGGCTAATCTGGGTTTCCCTCATTTGGCACTTTGGGGAACTATAGTCATGCTGGCTGGAGATTATTGGAGCAGCAGTTCTAAGACATCTGGAGTGCACAAGGTTGAGAAGAATTGACCTCATCTGTTGTTTGACAATAGGAAAGATAGTTCAGCCCATTTCTATTTTTAGTAGATATGTGCTAAGTAGTCTTTGGTTTGGCACATTCCCTGAGTTTTCTTTGCAGTGCTCAGCTCTTCTGTGCCTCAATTCACGCATGTCTTAGCTCCCATCTGAAGCTTCTGTCTATTCTTGAGTAGAGCACCACACTTGGTGACTATGTCACCAAAGAGCCGAGGTGGCGCAGCAGTTAGAGTGCAGTACTGCAGGCCACTTTAGCTGACTCTGTTCAGCAGGTCAGCGGTTCAAATCTCACCGGCTCAAGATTGACTCAGCCTTCCATCCTTCCGAGGTAGGTAAAATGAGGACCCAGATTGTTGGGGGCAATGTAATATATATATATACATTGCTTACTGGTGTACACCGCTTAGAGAGTGCTTGCACTTAAAGCGGTATATAAGTCTCATAAATAAATAAATAAATAAATTTTCATTTTCTCTTAGTATCTTGAAAACTTTCTTTTCTGATTCCCTCTAGTGTCTAACCTTTAAAGTCTCATTTTATGTTTTTTTTTTAATCAACAGAATTTTCACATAAGGTTTCTTGTACTTAATTTTAAATTGTCATAGTTTGAGTCGCAGATTGTACTGAATAAAATAAATGTAAAATTTTATAGCTCTAAGTTTTGTTTGTTTGTTTTCTTGATAATCTAAACAGCCTATTTTTTGCTTTTCTTCTGCCCTTGCAGAGGACTTTGGCATTCAGCATAGACTGTGGGTATATTCAGGACGCAGAGGGGTCCATTGCTGGGTGTGTGATGATGCTGTCAGGAAGTGGTCTTCAACTCTTCGCTCTGCTGCAGTGGAATATCTCTCCCTAGTCAAGGTGTGTTCCTATAGCCAGGGGAATGGCCTCTTGGAACAGAGCATGCCTGCATTTTGCAATGAGGCCTGCAGTTGGGCAGGGCCAGGGGAGAATTCTCCAAAATAATCACATGGCTGTTGAAACTCAAATCAGTTTCCTAGGTCTGACGTGGCAAATTTTAATAGCTGCACTGTTGATTTCCAACTGGCATCAATTTTTGTCAGGGCAAATAGAGTGGATGCTAGAAGTTACAGAACAGCAGAGCTATCCCTTGTGCTCAGATTACCTATCTGTCATTTATGCAGGGAAATAAGTAAACCTTCACATCAAAAGAGTAAGGGAATCAATCACCCATGAATACAGTCCTGGCAATAGGCTGTTATATCAGAGTCTGCGTCTGGAAGGAGAAAAGACAGTAAATGGAAGTGCTATTGATTTACTTAACATTATATTTAATCCACTCTTCAACCATAAAAATTCCTAGAATGGTTTATGGATCCATAAAATCTAGGCATTTCCCATCCTCTTTCAAATTGAGAAAATAGGAGAGCAAGAAAACAAGAGAAGTAAATTCTTAACATAATAAAATTCACAATATTCACAATCTGCTGTAATACAAGCATGCATTGTTGGTATTTTTACCACAGCTAATCGGAATGGAAATCATTTAAGGAAAGGTTTTCTCCTCTTTAATTGTTTAATGGGAGAAGCAGAGAATCAATAAAGAGGGACTTCTGTGTTCTTTGGAAATCCTGGGCAAAATAAATAAATAAAAAGTCAATAGAGAATGGGAGAACCTGAAGGAGGAGCAGCAAGATTATGAAATAGCTGCCCACAGGAGCGCAGTTTCACAGGTCAGATGCTTGCCTACACAGCTATCCCGTGAGCCTGTCATTTTGTCCTTTGTGTGAGACATAGAGAAACACCACATAATAAGCTAGGGCAGTGTGGCTTAGTTAGTTTTGTCCTAGCACAACATGAATGTACCCACTCTAGTTTGAAAACCACTGGTATAGTTTTACACAGGGCAATGTGTGACACACGCAGTTTATTCAACAAATCAAGGCTTAGCACAAGGTATGAATAAGTTCAGTGTGTTCTCCATGTTCAGAAACCAATGAGGTTCTCTTCGGTTCTCTCCCACTCCCTGCATATGTTGTTTAGATTTCTCAGCACAGAATGCTGTTTGCTTAGCTCTTAGTATAACCCTTTAAATCAGAGGCCCCCAAGTTTTTGGGCACCAGGGACCGGTTCTGTGGAGAAAGATTTTTCTGCAGACCAGAGGGGGCGCGGTTTCGTGTACTGTCTGCATCCAGCGGATGGGGCTTCACTTGTTTGCGCGGCCCAGTTGCTGGTATGCCGCAGCCCGGTGCCAGTCCATGGACCGGGGATTGGGGACCCCTGCTTTAAATTAAAGCCAACTGTATGCCTTATCAGGTTGCCTAGATGCCTAGGAAGATGAGGTTCCAATATTTTTAATAATAGGGTGAAAGAAGGCATTTTCTGCACTTGCACAAATCAGAAAAGATACACTTTAAATAATCTATCTTCCCTATCCCTGTTAAAGTACAGGACTCCAGCAGATGCTTTCGGTACTATTCTTTCCCCCGTTGCTCATTGTTAATGTAGCCTTTGGGCCGCCATTTCTTGATTTTCTTAGGGAAAAACAATGTGAATTAGTTCTGTATGTTCTCTTTGTTCAGGAATCAATATCCAGTCTAAGGAAATGCTTACTTGCTAGCTGAAGTTTACCCTTAGTTTTTTCTTCAGGATAGTGTGATGAGTTTTTTTTAATATTGATCCTGATGCTGAACTAAATGGTGCCATGAGGGGCAATTGAAACGTTGGGAAAAGAAACAAGTGAGGCAGAAAATTCAGTACAATGTCCTAGTTCTGGGACATGTGCAGCTAGAAGTGCCATTAAGTGTCCAAAGGGAAGGAAAGCAGGCATAAACAGATTCTAACCTTGCTTTTCCTTGAACATTTCTAGGGTGGTGAAGGAACCATCAAGAAAGTAACCCTCTCAGATAACTACATTCATCCTTTCATCAGGTCAGTTAATGTACATTTCGAGTTTTCAATAATGTGTGCAAGTGCCGTGAAGTACTTGGTGCCCACTGGTTTCCAATTAAAGTCTATCTAACAACACTTCAAGTAGGGAGCCTCGAACTTTCCAAATATTGCCGAATTGCAATTTTCTTGTTTGGGGCAATAATACCTGGTACTGTTCAACAATACTGAGAGGCCATAGATGCCTCACTCCAAGCTAAAACATTTTTGAACTGAATTGAGACTCATAGGATTTAAGGAAGTGTGGTCTAAGCAAAAACTTAGCATTATTTGGACTTGTATTGCATCAGATCAAATAAATACATATAAATAAACAGAACACTCTGCATTGTGGTGGTATGAATTAAGATAGATGCTTATACTTGAAAATGAGGTTGATGCAGAATTAGAACTTGTTACTTTGCATACCACTATAAATGCTAAAAAGCCTCCAGTTTCAAGCAGGAGCAAGCTAGATGCTGATGAGGCAATTTCAGCAGAAGTTATTTTATTTTTCTCTGCATGAGAAAGTATCATCTGCCTGATGTTCTCTTACAAAATCTTAAACGTTCAGGAACCATTTGTCTCTCTGATGCTTTCCTCGCTTCTTTTTCAGAGCATCATTGGATATAGTGACACGTTACTTCAAAGAATATGCTCTCGTTGGTCAGGACATACTTGAAAATAAAGAAAAATGGGAAAAAGTGTTAGCTTTGGTTCCAGAGAATATCCTTTGGGGAATTGTCAAAGATGGACTTGAGGTTATACAAAATAGGCAAAAAGCAGTTTTGTATGACTATATGGCCAGACTACTGATAAATAGTCAAGACAATGTGTAAAACGGGTTTTCAAACTTGGCCCTTTTATGACTTGTGGACTTCAACTCCCAGAATTCCTCAGCCAGGCACGCTGGCTGAGGAATTCTGGGAATTGAAGTCCACAAGTCATAAAAGGGCCATGTTTGAAGACCCCTGGTTTAAAACATAATCCAGATATCTACAGAGTAGCATCTGGATTGTTGCAATAGCCAGTAAGTAAAATTATTTCTAACAGAATGTAATAAATTCCCATTCCCTCAAAAAACCCTTAACACAGAATCCATTAATTGGCCAAGGCATCTTTCAGGCAGAAGCAAGTAAGCTTCTTTGACAACATCTTCTGTAGACATTTCCTTCACTCTCTACCTTCTTCTTCCTTCTAATAGACAATGCTCGGTTGTACTTGGTCTTTGGTTGTGACATTATTTCTAAGAGGCAGCAGAGAAGATTAAGATGGAGGGAGGATGTATATAGCAAGAAACCATCAGTGTTTGAAAACAGGATAGACGGCTTATTTGCAATAAGGTGGAGACCTGTTAAACTCCTGATGTTCAACTACAACTCCCAGTAGTTGCAAGCTGGCATAACTAGGGGTGAGAAATGCTGGGAATTGTATTTCGGCAATGACAGGACTAATGGTTCTTTACTGATATCCTAAAAGGAATCAACTCCTAAGATACCTTTTCCCAAATTATTTGTGGCAGTAGAACAGGATGTTTAAATCGAAAGGGTCAAGAATAATCAGACCTGTCCTTTCCCTGATGGTCTAATTTTCTTTCTGAAGAGAGTTTTTCCAGGGAGGGGCTCCTCCAAAGTGGGAGATACATGCACAGGGAAAAAAAAGTCTGTTCTTTCCATCTTATTCTTCCGTAGTGCACATGCAAGGTTTGTATATAATTTAAAGCATCGGTTCTAAGCAGACTTAATTGCAAGGAAATCCCATGAAGATTAATAGGAGGATCCAGATGCATCATGAGACCTGGTAAGCATGACTTTTGTTTAGCCAAACACTCAAGTTATCAGTGAGCAGCCTGTCATCTTAAAGTGGAGAAATAGTCTCCACATTTACAGAATGGTGATCTGCCTATGGCTGGCTCAGGAATTCTGGGAGTTGAAGTCCACCAGTCATAAAAGAGCCAAGGTTGCGTACCCCTGGCCTAGGGGAATGTTGGAGATGAGCATTCAGAGGTAATATCTGAATGACAGCTGACATCCATCATTTTGTCTTGATAACTGACCATTGGAACAGAGTTTCTCAATGTTGACAATTCTGGGAGTTGAAATCCACACATATTAAAGTTGCCAAGGTTGAGATACACTGAATTGGAAAGAACTGATTTGGTCAGTGGGTCCATCTGACCTACTGTATACCAGGAATAGAAGATTGATATGCAAGTCTTTTTGAAAGAAGGCAAAGCTATTCCCCTTGGAGAGGGTACAGAAAGTTAGCTATTTTGCTTCAGAGCCTAACCTTGAAAGTCCTTAGTAATTCTGCCACCAGATCAAGATCATCTTCGTGCCGAATTCCGTAAAAAGCATAATTCAGAGCAACGCTGGGAAGTTCTGGAAAAAAAGGTGAAATAAATAGCATATGCAAAATTAACACTGGGGATAGAACTTTGCTAATGGGTGAGACTCCCATTTTAAATTATAGTACTGAAAAGATCAATAACTAAAGACTGGGGAATGCTTTGCTATTAAACCTTGATGCTTCTGCCTTTTGAAGTTGCCCTGGATTTTGAGAGCCCAAGGGCCTGTGAAAATCAATAAGTGGATATAAAATAAGAGTCATTAAGACAGAAAGTTGACATATCCAGAATAAAACTACACTTTCTATTTTTAGTATGCTGATTCTCCCTATTCTTTCTTTCTACCATAAAAGGGTTTATTTATAGCTTATTGAAAATTGGACATCTGAAGGAGGAGCTACAGTTATTCTGAAAGCCTTTTGGCTGCTGAATTACAAAAAAGCTAAAGGGATTGGAGAAGAGTTATAGGAAGTCAGGCAGCATATAAATTTGGTGATTGATAATGTGTTTGGAGACCTTAGAGGCTGAACTTTAGGTGTTTTGCATACAAAGCAAGCACTTCTTGTACTAAAACACATCATTAAGTGAGGCTGGCTTCCCCATTGACTTTGCTTGTCAGGAGGTCGCAAAAGATATCACATGACCCTGGGACACTGCAGCCATCATAAGTATGAACCATTGTGGAGCATCCAAATGTAAATCGTGTGACGATGGGAATGCTGCAATGTTCATTAATGGGAAAAATGGCCATAAGTCACTTCTTACAGTGCTGTTGTAACTTCGAAAGATCACTAAATTAACTGTTGTAATTCAAGGACTATCTATACTGAGTTAGCTAGACCTGGGCATTGTCTTGACTTAGGCCAGCTTCTTTTGCATTAATCTTTTTCTCTCTCATTCTGAAGAAAATGGTACACGCTGAAAGGGAGATTATGCTGCAATACTGTTTTCCCCGCCTGGATATGAATGTTAGCAAAGGCATCAATCATTTGCTGAAGAGCCCTTTCAGCGTTCATCCAAAGACAGGTCAGTTACTGAACAATGCTCCTGCATATTTCCTTTTGATGGAAATCCGACAAGGGCCTAAAATGGCAGGGAATGTTGAAGCTGGAGGTGGAAATATGGAATTCATTTCAACCATGGAGATCACTGTTTGATACTCAGCCACTTGCTATCTTTCTGGCTTACTTTCAGGCTGTTGGGAAGATAAAATAAGGTAATGCTGCATATGCAAAATTGAGCATAGAGAATAGGGAGGATTTAAGCATCATTAGTAGCAACATACTGCTTTGTCTAACATACCAGTTATTCCTTCTGCTGCTTCTGAAATGTACATTTCCCTGTTAGTGTTTTCAGTTGGAAAATGAAATAATGCTAAAATCAAATGTTTGATGACTAAAGAGGTCGTTTTCTGGGTGGGGGGGAAGAGTGCTGCATATAATCATGAGATAAAATGATAACTATAGAAATGGATATGTGGTCTTTGTGGAGTTTGTGAGTTTTAATCAATATAAAGCAATATTTTAAATTGATAATCCTTAAATAGGTTCTATATTAGTATGTCATCTTAGGAAGAACAATCAGGATCCAAGGGCCAAACAACCGATAAGCATGTTTTGACTCTTCTGTGTTAAGAGATTAAATCTTGAAGTTGCTGTTTTGAGTTTCCCAATATGCTCAGAATGGTGCTTTAGCATATGCTTTGAGTATAAGACAATACAGGTAGTCCTCAACTTACGACCATAATTGACCCCAAATTTATGTTGCTAGGTGATACATTTGTTAAGTGAGTTTGCCCCATTTTACAACCTTTCTTGCCACAGTTGTTAAGTGAATCATGGCAGTTATTAAGTTAGTAATTAGAATCTGGCTCCTCCATTGACTTTGCTTATCAGAAGGTCACAAAAGATGATTACATGACCCCAGGATACTGCAACTATCATAAATATGAGTCAATTGCCAAAAGTCTGAATTTTGATCATGGGACCGTGAGAATGCTGCAGTAGTTGTAAGTGTGAAAAATAATCATAAGTCACTTTTTCAGTGATGTTGTAACTTTGAACAGTCACTAAATGAACTGTTGTAAGTTGAAGACTACCTGTGTTAAGACCTTTCCAAGGTCTGGAGAAGTTTCCATGTGGACATTTAGCCAGTTCATGGAACTGTTCAGAAATATAATCCCTCGCTGTATGCTTTTTCTCTTCCCACTAATAGTCTTTAAAGCAGGGGTCCCCAACCCCTGGGCTGCAGTCCATTACTGGGCCTCAAGCCCTTTGGAACTGGGCTGCGCAAGTGGCGGGCGAGCACATGTACATGGGTGCTCATCCCCACTTGTGCAAGTACATATGGACTCCATTTGTGTGAGTGGCTTACATGTGTGCCCACCACCCCTCATGCAAATTGAGCTGTGCATGTGCGTGCTTGCTCACCGCTCACATGGAACCATCCCCTCCCTTCCCCCCACCCCCAGTCCACAAAGCCAAAAGGTTGGAGAATAAGAAGCTGTTGCTTTTGACCTCTTTCAGGACGCATTTCAGTTCCAATTGACCTGAAAAAATTGGATGACTTTAATCCATTTGCTGTCCCCACTATAAGGTATGGCTCATCTCTTTGGGGTCTATGACAAACTTGCATGTAGATGGTTTAGGAATGATATAGTGCCTAAGTTTACTCAACATATTAAGCTATGGTTCTTTATCCACTTTGTTGCATAATTAACAATTGGTTGGATTAAACATCATAGTGCCAACATTCACTCAGTGGCTCAAGCAAAAGAAAATGCATAGTATCACTTAATGTGATAGGTGTACCCAATCAGTCTCTTCAAACATAAATCAGGAGTGGATTGATCAATTCCACTGCATAAATTGTAAATTTACTGGATACAAGCTCAGAGTGAAATGATCACGATCAATATAGGTTGGCCCAAATTCTGTGGGATTTCCAATGTTTTTGTTCTATTTGTTAGCCAACTCTGTCATGAGCTGGACATGATTGGAAAAGATGAAGGGAATGGAAAGGAAACTGAAGGTCTGCTGGAAAGCTCTCGTAAAAGCCGAGGTAAGTGCTGTCATAGATCAGGATAAATAATTAGCGAACTCTGTTGTTATTGGAATGTATCATTTCCTTGATGCATAGGTAGATTAGAGGAACAGGTTGAAATGCTGCATTGGTAGCACTAAATTCTTCAATTATGCATAATTTCTCTTATTTTATAGTCCTATATAAAGACCCTGGAAATGCTCTTAGTCTCCAAATTTTCAAGCTGTATGTATATATTAATTCCAAATAGGTCTTATGGGTTTCGCCCTTTTCCCCGAGTAATTTACCGCTTTTCTTTTCTGAGGGAATGGGGCAAAAATTCCCTTTCCAACTTTCATGGGGGGGGAGTGCTTTGGGCAGATATTCAGGAAGAGGTCTTAAAATCATAAAGAAAGGATCAGATCTCACCCAGTTTCATCCACGTTGCTGTAAAGTTGCTTGGTAGTGCTTGTTGACTTCCATTGTCAGCAGCTTCGGACTGGCTACACAAATGCTGCCAGTTTTTCCCCCAACTTGGAGGGCTTCCTCGGATCAAATGGGAGGGCTGCCGCCCCCTGCGATCAGTGAGAGTCCCGTCCTTGTTTGTCGCCTCTACAGGGTGACTTGACCCTTTCCAAGGTCCCCCAGCAGGGCAAAACCAAACGCAAAAGACAGAGCCCCGTCTTCCTGCACCTGCATCGCCGCAACGTCAAAACTGGAAGTCCCAATTTTACTATATGCGTTACCAAAGTCAGCATTTTTTAAAAGAAAAAAACAAAGTCCGGTTGCCTTTTGGAAAAGCACCTTTGTGACATCTTTTGTGAGAGTTTTGCTTTTCGGGGAAGTGTGTGAAGGGTAGACATTTGATGAAGGCTACCCCATTTGTTGTAAAAATAAATAATAGTAATAAGCAGCATAGCAAGACAAATGGTTTACTGAGATGTAACCAGTGCTTTTTTTCTAAAAAAAAAAAAAAAAAAGATGCCAGAACTCACACACGTCATACAACCCGCCTTCCCTACCCTACAAGGTTCCATCCAAAAAAGGTACCGGAACTCCATTCTGGGTGTTCTTTGAGAAAAAAAGCCCTGGATGTAACAGATCAGTTTTCTGAAATGTTTGCAAATAGAAAAATACAACATAATCAGAATTAAATCTGGCATGTCCTTGGGGTCAAATCAGGAATGCATAAAGGATCTGACCTGGAAGTGAAGTTAAATTTTTTTTGTACTGATTGGAACAAATGGACAGTTGAGCGCCGAATTTAATTCCTTGTGTCTGTTAAAAAGTTGTGAGTTTAAAATTTGAAAATAAAATAAGTTCTTTTCTCCTCCCTTTTTTAACAGATTATAAGAAAACCAGTTTAGCTCCATATGTGAAAGTCTTTGAACAATTCTTGGAAGAAATGGAGAAATCTTACAAAGGACAACGTTTGAAAGATAGCGGTAAGGGCTTGTTTCAGAAGGATGCCAACTCCATCCCCCCACCCCCCACTCCCAATTGTTTCAGTGACACCAGTCATGATGGTGACATGGGCAGTAACGTAAATTGATACAAAAAATAAAGTGTTTTTTCTCTTTGTCCTTGGCTATGGCTAACAGAGAGATAAGTTAAATTCATTATATTAAATATGAAGCAGCTTTTTTGAACCGGCATTGTGCTTCGTAAATGGTAGGATGTGGGAATCAGGCAACTGGCTTCTTTAATGAAACAGTTAAGCAACCTAGGACTTACTTCAGGCTGTGAGCTGGGTAGCTCGGTAGCAATATCAGGCAACGTTGTAATATATATAATAGACTTAAGGATGTCGATTTGAAGTTACTTGGGATAGAAACTCTTAGCTTGTGGATGCATGACATTGAATCACAAAAATCAATTCTGTGGCTTTGCATAAATTATATGATCAGTTTATGATTCAGTGTTATCATGTGAGCTCAGAACATTTGGATAGTTAAATAAATCATCAAGAGAGGACAGCTGTACAATTCCAGGAAAGGGTGGGTCCCGTTTTAAAGAGTTGCAAACAGGTGCTATATTTGCAGTCCCATACCAAACTAGCACATTTCTTTGGAATTTAATCCAAAGTATTGCACAGTAATTTTGGCTTCATGTGACAAGTACTTACACCTAAATACACTCTCATTGCCTATTGTGAGGAAATTGTAGACATCTCCAAATCATTAGTGTTTTCAAATTTAAAGAAGAAAACTTTTGCAGAATATACCTCCCCCTCTCCACTACCTTCAACATTAACTACAGGTAGTCCTTGACTTACAACAGTTCATTTAGTGACTGTTCAAAGTTACAACAGCACTGAAAAAAATGACCTATGACCTTTTTCCACAGTTACGATCTTTGCAGCATCCCCATGATCAAATTCAGACACGTGGCAACTGACTCATATTTATGACGGCAGCAGTGTCCCAAGGTCATGTGATCCCCTTTTGCAATCTCCTGACAAGCAAAGTCAATGGGGAAGCCAGATTCACTTAACAACTAGGTTACTAACTTATCAGTTGCAGTGATTCACTTAACAACTGAGGCAAGAAAGGTCATAAAATGGGTCAAAACTTGCTTAACAACAGAAATTTTGGGCTCAATTTTGGTTGTAAGTCGAGGACTACCTGTATCTGAAACAGCCTTTCCAGGCATGCTGGAAAACAACTCCTATCAGTAACCACTTGTACATCCATGCAGAAAAGAAACTGTAATTAACACCTCTGCAGTTTGGAGGTGGTTGATATAATTTGTTGTATAACATATTAAGTATCTTCATGATATGTCTTAATTGTGTTTAAAATTATCTTTCCTTTTTTTCTTAAAGACATGCAGATGGATTTCTGAAGTTTTGAAGACACAGTGCATTGTCACAGGGCAGTTTGTAATTGTAGACCTCTTGACTGTTGCTAGATTTGTGCACAAACCAGCCATTTACATACACAAACATGCTTTTCTTACTGAAGAAGAGGTGATAAAAGTGTTAATAAGCCATTCAGGTTCTAACAGCTGAGCACAACATAAAATAAATATTTGGTTTTGCATAACATGGGAGTGTAATCAGTGGATACACATTTGTCAAACAGGAAACAATAGGGGTTTATATTACTGAATACTGTAGTAACATACACATTTATGCTTTATTTGACATGACATTACAAGCAAATATCAGGCAGTTTTGACTGGAGACTATATGGTTTTTAAGAAGTTCAGGTAATCCTCAACTTACAATGGCAGTTGGAACCAGAATTTTCATTGCTAAGCAATGCAGTTACAAAGTGTGGCAGCATCGCTTAGCAATCCCTGCAGTCCCAGTTACCATTGTTAACTAAATCCCACGGTCATTAAGTGAGGCAACTTCCTGCTCACTTCCCACAACAAAAGTCAGTGGAAAAGCCAGTAAGAAGTTGCAAGTCCCAGGCAGGCAGGTAAGTGGCTGCTGCTGGGGGTGGTGGTGGTGGTGAGTGTATATCAGATGAGGTGTGAAAGAGGCATGTGTGTTGTGTTAGATATGAGGGGAGGCATGGGGAAAATTGGGAAGGATTCACAGGCACAAAAAGCCAACACAAGCACAGGGGGGTGCATAGGTAGGAGAGGCTTACCCAATTGTGACCTTCCCTGCTGGCTTCCCCATTCACTTTCTGGGGAAGCCAGCAGGGAAGATTGTAAATGGATTGCAACTAATTGTAAGTGCAAATCTGTTGCCAAGTGCCAAATTATGGTCACATAACAGCAGGAATCCTGGGATGTCTGGAATTTTGACAACTGGTCATACCACCATTATAACTTCAAACAGTCATGAATGAATGGTCATTTGCCAAAGATTGCCTGTAGATCTGTTTTTTACCATCTAGTACCTCACTGAAAAGCTAATGCAGCCCACTTTTAGATGGATTTTTACTTCAGTGCTTTTGAAAACTCTGTCAAGGATTTCTAAAATCAAAACATAGAAGTATTGCAAACTATAGCTTTCAGATGACATCATCCTTGTTGAAAGGAGCCGAGGTGGCGCAGCAGTTAGAGTGCAGTACTGCAGGCCACTTTAGCTGACTGTGTTCAGCAGGTCAGCAGTTCAAATCTCACCGGCTCATGGTTGACTCAGCCTTCCTTCCTTCTGGGGTAGGTAAAATGAGGACCCAGATTGTTGGGGGCAATGTAAATATATATATACATTGCTTACTGGTGTACACCGCTTAGAGAGTGCTTGCACTTAAAGCGGTATATAAGTCTCATAAATAAATGAATAAAATAAATAAATTGGTTGAATCATAAAATTTTACATATACTACAGGAAAAAAAACGAGGTCCACATGCAGATAAATGCTGTCAGTGGCAATCTCTGCTGAGCCTAATGCACCACCATGTTACAATAAAAAAATCTCCATAATTTAAAATCAGGTAAAAATATAAGAGTAAAATGCAGTCATCTAATGTAATACTACATAAAAGTCAGGCTTTTCAGCTCCATTTTACTTCTAATAAAGCAGTATTTCCTAATGTAGCAGAGATAGTTGTTCTGTAATCTCTTAACCAGATGAAAATTGGCCTAACCTCCAGAGTGGTCCCTCTGTTAAAAAAGTCTGCTGGAAAAGTTGGTTCTATAAATGGGTAAAAACAATGTGCCTGTGTTACATTCTTAACTTCCTTGTCTTTATAATTTATAAAAAATGTTTCATTAAAAAATATTAAAGTTCTGAAAAGTGACAAGTTTGCTTAACCTTTACACACCCATCGGAGTTACTGCTAGAATATACAACAGCCTGAAACGTATGCCTGGAAGGGATTAACTCCTTCAGTTGACCAACAATTGCTTTCCTGGTTTCCTTGCTGTTTGTAGTTGGAACTTTGGGACAACAGACATTCCATACAAGGCCTATGCCTATTTTTCTAACACCACACTGCAAAGCAGTCTTAGCCATTGAAAAGATCAGCATGTATGTCTGCACAAAAAAACAATACTCTTTCAAACGGGTCCCCAACTCCCAGCAACCAGTCCGCACAAACAAGCAAATCTGCGAGATGCAGGAGGCACACAAAACCATGCACTTTCTGGTCCACCAAAAAACCTCTCTTCACATAACTGGCCCCTGGTGCCCAAAAGGTTGGGGACCTCTGCTTTAAGATATTGGCCAAAACAGCTACTTCACTAATTATCCCAGTGGATAGTTAGTGTGCACAGAAAACCTCAGGATCACCATGAAGCAGCACTAAGTCTTTGAAGAATTGCATTGTTTTTTGTGTAACGATACATGGGTACTTTCCTCACAAGCAGAGGATCTTGTCAAAAGATCTTAGATACATATTTAAGGTTTAGAAGAATCTCCCTGCTTTGTTAAATAATTTCTGCATCCAAACATGGATTCAAACAGTGATCCTGGAACTGGGGAACTACCAGAGGACTGGAAAAGAGCCAATGTAGTTCCCAAATAGAGGAAAGACTGCATTTTCACTGGTTTAGAACACAAAAAACACCCTATTTTGGAAGAATAGAAGAGTATTGTCCATAAATATAAGACACTCAAGATTATAGAAGCTGTTGTTGACTTGCAACATGATTAGCATATGAATTTAGATTTATGTGAACATGGCAACATGGAAAAGTCTCCACAGAAATTATAATATTCTAGAACAGAAAAAAATCATACCATGCAGCCTATTGAAAAGAATCTCACTTGCAACTTAATTCTATGCATGTTTACTTGGAATTAATTCCCAATGAGTTCAAGAGTGCTATAGCATACATTTTATTACTCTGGTAACATCCTATCAAATCCAATATAGATATCTATTGATTCACAGAACTTTATATTTCATATTTTAGACTGAAAAAAATGAAGGGCAGGCCAAAATTTCAGCCTGTAGGCTTGCATTGTTTTTAAATGTCTGAGAAGTAATTCAAACATGGGGTAATCTACGATTTAATAGTACAATACATCTTGTTAACATGTCAAGTTTTAAAAAAGCATCTTCCATTAATTTTGCCTCACTTCAGTTAAATTTTTAAACTTTCCTCTCTACTTTGGTGCTGGATCCAGAGTTAAAAGCAGCAGCAAGTTAAAACAGCAAAGAGGCAAATACTTAAAACCTCTTTCGCCCATATTACTGTTTGATCTCTACACAGAATCTTGTTGGTTATAAGAGACTCAGAAGGTTTCCCATCTAGTTCTCACAATATCCGCTTACTCCAAGGTTGTGGGTTTTTTTGGTTTTTTTTTTAAAAAGACTTTAAAAAAGGTGGGATGAGAATTTGTAAAATCGAGTGACTGAGGTGGATATCTCACATAGTTTACAAAAGACTAGTGCAAGCGCATTTATACAATATCTGTAATAGAAACAACCTGGCAACGCCACTTCTGTAGAATTCTCCAGGGGGCCAAACTTCACTTAAGGAGAAACAGGATCCACTTACGGAGTCTCCCATTTCGATTCCTGGGGCTGGTGAACTGAATCTGATTCCGGTGTAACCAAGATAAGCTTTCCCGACCTGAAATTGACGGTAGCTCCTGCTTAAGTTTACTTCAAGCGCAGGACAAAAGTTCTCTCCGTTTTTCTCCCCTTATCCTCACTATAAGCTGCATTAGGATTTTCTCCGCCGACCCAGCATCTCCCTGCTGACTTTCTCGAGACAAGCGCATCTTTGTGGCACCTAGTTCAGCTTCCGCCAGCTACGACGCCACTGGAGATATTGAGCTACAACTTTTCATAATTCGCAGCCAGAACAAGTGACGGCCTCAATCTTGGAAATTGACTGATGCCAACTAGTCGTTTTCGACCCCTAGCAACCACATGGATTTTGTTCACGATCTATCCTTAACCTGGTTTTTTAAGTCTCCCAACACAATGCACTCATCACCACTGTAACTGATGTTCGAAATGAACCATCTCGACTCTACTACATCGATCCATCCCAACCGGTCAGGCAGAAAAGCTACGTTGGTTAAAGAATTCCGACTGTTGGGATCCAGGGAGAATTTTCTCTCCTGATGCCCCCGCCCTTTGAAACATCTTACCCCAGGGACGGGCCCCACTCTTTTGGTCTTCCGGAAGATCGTCAGGACCTGGCTCTGCCAATTAGCATGGAGATCTAAAGAGCGATAGCGGATACTTGGTGGCTTGCGAGTGCTTCCTCTCTTTTTAACAGCTTTATTTTAACTTTGCTTTCATTCTGTTTTTAATTTGTGTTTTTATAGTTCTGTAAACACTTCTGTGTCACTTAAGGTGGGCGGTGCAGAAATGTTATAACTAAATAGATACCACAACACAGCAAATATTAAGAATCATCTGTTCATAAACAGATTAATTCGTCTTTATTTTTCCTATTGTCGATGACTTTTTTTTTTTCCTCCGCGAATAAGGAACTTCTCCCAACTTTTGCTTGACGCATCTCAAGTTTTTACAAGCAACCTCCGGAAGAGTCGGGAAGCATTGCCGAAACAGCACGTGGTAAAACAGACTCTTAGGACCCGGAAGCTGTTCTGACGCATACCGGAAGTTGCCCCCCTTTCACCGTTCTGTCTTTTTCTTCCGCCATCTTGCGCCCGGGTCGTCTCGTACAGTAAGTTTCATCGTTTGTATCCGCCGGCATCTGCTTCCGATGGCTCTGTAACCCGGCTGGCGGGGAGCCGCCTAAGTGGGAAAAGCTGAAGTCGCTCAAGGGGATGTGCCGATGGCGGCGAGGGGAGCTCGGACGGTTAGATTCGGCGGGGGCTCCGAATAGGCCGCTTGGGCCATTTGCTCTGGGTTATGCGGCGTCAGGGCGGCCTTGGAAAGACTTCGGTTCACGGCCAGAGGCTCACTGGAGTTTGGGGACGGAAAATGATGTTCGGTATTGAACGCACAGGGAGAAGGCCGTCCCTACTTAGAAAGACTCTGGTGTTTCGGCTAAAGCAGGAGGTCTTCAGCTTAGAAACAGGAGAGCTTTACATTCTTGGACTGGTCTTGGTTTGTGCTTAATTGTGGTCGGTGGTTGGATGATCTCTGCTAAACGATGGCTCCTTTCCCTTGAACATTGTGTTATAAATAATTGAAAGGGTTGTGGCCAGAGTTGGAATCGATTCTTAGGGGCCACATAGATTTTATGCATCTGATCAAGTATCGGTACGGTAACAGAATTTGCCCGGAGAGTGAATTCCTTGCTATTCACACACTTTGTTCTTGGAAGGTATTCCCATAAAATCAAGGGACCGAGCAAAGATGGGTCAAAAATTAGTAATAAAACTTTTAGGATGATAAGTGGAATAATGACGGTGGTAGTGTCAACACACAGGCATAATATATTTAGTGGAAGGAGTACTGAAACTGTCCCCTTGCTCAGTTCATCCTTCTGATGAAGTGGCATGCAAAGGGATGTTGACTTTATAAAATATATATATGGAAGGTACACATTGATGGAAGTATGATTAAAAAAAACCCAAGGAGCTCTGTTAAATCAGAACCACACTTTATTAGAGGAGGGTAGAAATTGTGTGTAAAGGCTTTTCAATATGAACAATATCTAGTAAAGAAACTTAGCTATGGATACTTGCGTTAGGTGTATACATCTTTCACAGTTGAACTGGCAGAATATACACTAAAAACTTCAGACCAATAATTGGACCTTAATTTTTGTTGCTAGATCATAAGCATTGACCATTTAACTGAAATAAGGCAGTTATAAGATTACAAAAATGAAGACTAAATCAATGTTTTTGAATACTTTAAAACTTTTAGTTGAATATAGAAATAAATTGCTTTTTTGGGATTAATAGCTTAATACTGTACCTAAAGTTCTTATACGTAAGTGGTTTGCTTCAGTATTGTGACTGCAACAGATTAAGTCTTTATTGTAGTAAAGTATTTTACAATGTTATAATAGATAAGATATAGGGAAAAATATATTTTATTTTGTTCCTCTTCTATTAGAAATGCCTGGAGAAGCCACAGAAACTGTCCCAGCAACAGAACAGGAGCTGCCCCAGCCTCAGGCTGAGACAGGTTAGTATTTTGGATGATTTAGATACCTTGAATACATTCTCCATCAGCATGAAGACCAATAGAACTCCTTTGTGGAGAGAGTTCCATGCATTCAACCATGAGTTTGCCCAATAGCCTTAAGGAAATCATCTGTTATCTTCATCCTCTTATCTGTAGTAGTGGAATTAAAAATACACATTTATCTGATAGGGTTGCTATATGGTTAAATAAGAATTTTAGAGCAGACATGTCAAAATCAAGGCTTGTGTGCTGCATCTGGCACACGATGGGCCCAGATCTGGCCCACGGTGCCACCCTGGAGATGGCAAAAGACCGGCTGCCCCGGCTCACCCCAGACCGGCTGGGTGCACCCCCTCACACACACAGGAGGTGGCAAGCGCACAGGGACGGGCGGTGCCTGGCAGCAGCCCCAGCCTCTCAGCCGGCACCCTAGAGCTCCACAGCCCGCATAGGGCAGGTGGGTCCAAGTACCGGGCTAGCCCTCCAAGCAGACAGAGGCAGAAGCATGGGGGGGGGCACATCCCAGCCGTAGCAAGCGTGGGCAAGCAAAGACGGATGGTGGGGCTGCGGTGAGGCAGATATCATGCCATGGCTCCTGCCCACTGGGCCCCCACTGTCCAACTTCATCTTCCAGCTCCGCTGCACATGCGAGATAAACCTGTCTGCTGCAATGGCCCTAGCAAACAGGAGGAACTCCTCTCCTGGCTTCGCCTGAGCCCAGCCCCAAACCTGCCCCATGCCTGGCCAGGCACCCCCCAGGAAGCCGGCTGGGTCACAGTGTCCCAGCGCCCCAGGAGCTTGAGGGCCAGAACGGGTGCCCACCGCCCAGGGTCCTGGGCAGCCCGCACCACCAAGAGGGACAGCAAGGCTCCTCCAGTGGACTAGGTCCCGGTGCCTGCCCCAGTCCCACCCCCCCTCCACCGGAGACCCTCAGATCTCCCGTTAGCCCCACTTATCACACCCCAATGCAAGCGATGAGCTGACCATATCCACCTATCCATGCCCTCCCAGCCCCTCCTACCTCCCTGAAGGCCACCACACTGCTGATGCCCTCAATCGAGTTTGACACCCCTGATTTAGAGGAAACATTACAAATGGCTACGTACATATTTGGGGAATGTTTTTGGAGTGAACAACAGCATGATTGAAGGCTGGAACTAAATGCTCCATTTCATTGATACTTTGGAGCAGCTTTCCTCCCACTCCCCACAAGTGCTAATTGAGTGTTAATTTGTGCTTTAATCCAGAACATCAGGAAGACAGCTACTTTTAATGTATATGGACAATACTAATAACTAAGCTACTGGATTTTTTTTCTTCATATATTTATTTGTTGGGGTTATCAGATGAGATATTAGAGCAGATTGGCATTTATTTATTAAGCATGATGTGCTTGGCTATACATGAGATTGGCAAAGAGTGTGCCTCATTTTGATGGATTAGAATTGTGAGCTATGAGCTTTTAAAAACCCTGTTTGTATTTTAATGTGTTTGGGTGTGTTGTGTGCATACCTTTACTATATTGGATTTACTAATTTTGAACTTTACTCCCTATTATGTTTCAAGTGATATATCTTGAGGAAATTTTGTATGCTGGATAGCAAATAATTAGATTTAATTATTTGCCACATTTCTGGCTAGAAGCTTAAGGGATACTACATGATTTATGACTTGGCTTCTATACACACTCGTATGTGGCATTTGTCCATTACTGGGTTGTTGTTTCTTTTTTGTAAATAAGTTCATGTATTTATTAAAACATTTAAGAAACAAAGAGCTACAAAAAGATAGAGACCTAATAGAGTAATATGGCAGTAATTAAACATAGGATTTACAATTATCATAAAACCTAAAATTCATTTTATTGTCCACTGCTGAATTGTTATAATATAGTGTTTTCTATCCCAAGGATGGCAAGTGTGGTTTGAAAGCATAGGGAAACTTTGGAGTTCCATTGAGTGTTCTGTGAAGAGCACTCTGGGCAGCACAGATGTTGCTCTTCTGGGCAGCCATCAAGTACCTGTTTCTATTCTTACACCAGAGCAAGGGCATTCAGAAATAGATACAGCTCTCCTTCTGGTTCCAGAGAGCTAGAAAGGGTTGTGATGTCACGTCCTGTAGAATGGGTCCCCAATCCATGGACCGGTACCAGGCCGTGGCATGCCAGCAACCGGTCTGCACAAACAAGCAAAGCCCCATCCGTGGGATGTAGGCAGCACACAAAACCACGCACTCTCCAGTCCGTGAAAAAACCTTTCTCCACTGAACCAGTCCCTAGTGCTCAAAAGGTTGGGGACCTCTGCTGTAGAAGGCAATAGTTCCTTCTGGTTTCCTCTGGAGAGTAGACAAGCCTGCAAGCTAGCATGGCTAGAACTGCCCTGGTGACATTTTTTCTTTTTGCTTTATTTAGTTTTCATGGCTTTTCACTTTCCTTTTGGGGAGACCTTAACCTAGTAGTCAGCAATGGACAGTAACATAGTGTCTGGAGATTCCGTGGAGCTTTCTGCGAGGAGGCCAAATAAATAGTTTAATTTCTAACTTTTTAATTCCATGCTTAATGTTTTCTAGAGAATTTAGCCAACATAGTGGTGTCCAAATCCAGTAGATTTGTCATTGTTCCTTTAGGTAATGAGATGGCCAATACACTGCTCTACCTTTGGATTCATATCAGATATAATATTCCTAAAGATAATCTAACACATACCATCACATTTACCAGGCCTCCTTGTCCCAAGAGTGTCACTTCTTCCTAGTCGTATAGAACAACCAAACATCTGCTATAAGCTGTCACCAAATCACAGGCCCTCTCACCCATGTGCCTTCTTTGTTAGCCTTAGAGGTCACATGGGTGAGAGAGTTTATGGTTTCTTCTCCATATTAATGATATCCAAAAAGAACAGGGAATAGCAGACTATCTTGCCATATCAAATACTGCATGTTCAAGATTGAAAACATGATAGCCAGTGAGAGAATATTTAGAAAAAAATATGCCACAGGTTTGCTAGACTTAACAGGTGGCCCATTTACATATTCCAACTTATCAATCCCAGAGAACATTCCTTGGGTTTCAGCATCGGGGAATTTCTCATTTAGCCAGTCAGCTCGCAGAATATACATGAAGGCGATAGTAACTATCATAGTCCACTTCAAATCATAGGGAGTACATGTGTACCTCTGGGTAAATAACCTGCTATTCAAGTTCCCTTTGACAGAACAGGCAAAGAGAGACATATGCATCATGATTATACATCAAAGAGTCAAGAGCATAT